CCGGTGACGGCCGCGGGGAGAGGGCGAGAGAGAGAGGGAGAACGGCTGCTAGGGTTAGGGTTTTCACTTGTTTTGTGCAAGACCTATAAATCTTGTATTTATAGTGTCTTGCATAAAACCCTAGCGGGCTTAAGTTGGACCGGGCCCAACAACTTAAGTTCGATAGTACTTTTACTTGCTCGTTTCTCTCAATCCAATGACCGAAAAATTGCAACGATTACATTTTCGGAATCATTATAAAGTCCTCGTCATTACGAGTGTCAATTCTCATTTTCCAACTTTCTAAAAGTGGAAACCCTAGTTCACTGCACTTTCTAAATTTGGAAACTTCCCGATGTAGAAAGTCCACTACAACGTTCGCCTATTCTTTTCCTTTTCTTATTCTCATTCGTAATTCCAAATTACGAATGTTTGACTCAATCGTATTGACTTCCAATCATGCAAAGATAAACTATTTTATCTCTGACCGTTTATTCAAAGATCTCATGTGCACGAGCAGTGTGACCCTCGATGGTTCAGGTGTAAGCTAGCCGTGGGCCCACAACTCTTTGTGGTCAAAACTCGTCCCTTAGAGTTACGATTAAGATGAAGCTCGTTTCACCTTAATCACCCAACGAATCAAGATTGGCGTCTAGCAACTACGCGTCATGATTCCCTAGATACAAATGAATTGCCTGCAAGAACCTTCAGATATAGTTAACGTACAGTACGGTCCCTTCGATGCATATGTCCCGATCGAACTAGAGGCATTGGTTCATCGAGACCTCTTTATATGTTCAATGACGGTGCGATCGTTCTAAGTGTTGTAATCCTTACGTGCATGACTTAGAGAATCGAATTCTCTAATCATCACTTAGTCAGCTCTGGCTAGAGACTTAGAATGATTACAAACTTTCAGAACACACAGGACATCCAAGACTATTCTAGCGATCGAATCCCCGACTACAATGCAAAGACCTCCCACTAGATTTCGGACTGCACGAACACTGGCCCTTGGGATGGTCCTCGGTGGAACTCAGGGACAGGTCACGATACAGCTGGTCCTCTAGTGAAGTCACGGTGATGTCTAGGTCATAAGGACTAATGGTGCACAACTATACCATAGATATCTCTACTCGATTATTGGGAACCACTTAGAGATTTCTAGGGTGAGGGAGTTCAGTGAACTCGTCAACTTACGAGCACCCACTTATGCATGCCGATATCACAATACCGTTTACTGATGAGATGCAGTACACATACACTAAGTGCTAGTCTTAATGGGAAAGGCCGATATCCTCATTAGTGGCGTAACCCTTCGATTAGGAACACGTTTAACAGTTATAATACTTAAGTAAATATCTCACGATCCTAACGATCAATTACTAGTACTTGTAATAACTGTAAGGACTATATCTATGCTTGTGACAAAGGGACAAATATATAGAATGCCAAGGTGTTTTATCATTAATACGAATAAAGGTTCGTTTATTACAATAATAAATATGAAAGACCACAGCCACACGTTGGCTTGTTGGTCACCTACTCTAACAATATCGGCGTGCATAAGTGGGTGCTCGTAAGTTGACGAGTTCACTGAACTCCCTCACCCTAAAATCTCCAAGTGATTTTCAATAATCAAGTAGAGATATCTATGGTATAGTAGTACACCATTAGTCCTTATGTCCTAGACATTACCGTGATTTCACTAGAGGACCAGCTGTATCGAGACCTGTCCTGAGTTCCACCGAGGATCGCCCCAATGGCCAGTGTTTGTGCAGTCCAAAATCTAGTGGGAGGTCTGTGCATTGTAGTCGGAGATTCGATGACTAGAATAGTCTTGGATGTCCTGTGTGTTCTCATAGTGGGAGGTCTGTGCATTGTAGTCCACACGCGCCGCCGCTGCCAGCGCGTCCGCCGCCGTCGCTACACCGCCGCCGCTCCCGACTGCACGGATTGGTTTCCGTGGCAGTTTGCTTCGATCCGAGTGCTTGCCTCACGCTTCAAAGAGGTAAATTTTCGGATTCAATATTCATTAGGTGTTAATTTAATTAGATTAAATTATATGTGTTTGTATTCGCAGTATGTTTTTCGTGAATTTATATATGTTTCGTGTTGATATGAAATTCATGATTTACTGCGAGCATGCTATGTGATTTGTTGTCGAATAAATTAATACGCATGATTGTTGTTTTTAATTATCGCTGGAAGCGCAAAGGTACGCAATTAATTGTTTTAATTCGAATCGAGCATGTGATTATGTGAATTAAATTGTTTATTTCACGTAAAATTTTTTGTTTTCCGCTGCGTACACGTGCCCGATTCCCATCAAACATATACTTTATGACTAAACTCACAATACTCTATGCATGAATAACCCTACATTTACCAGTTTAGACATTGTACTTACTTGTGGAACAAAACATACTATATTTTGTGATGAATTGAGTTGCACCAATTTCCTTGACACTTTAATGATGAATTGGTATGGGAGATGCATAAGTTATGTTTTAGATGAGTATTTTAAGTTTGGTGAACATCAGTGTTACGTTTGGAGTAGACACGGCCATGGGCTAGTTTTGGGCCCGGAACGGCCCGTTGACAAACCGACCCAAACCGTTGACCGGTGAACCGGCCCGAAACCCGTGAACCAGCCAATCGTCCCCGGGATGGGCCCGGGATGGGCCCGGGCCTATGAATTGGTGAACCGTGAACCGCCGAGCCGGCCCAGCGGTTCACCCAGATTTTTTTTATAAAAAAAAATCAAAAAAATTCAAAAAAGTTCAAAAAAAAAAAAAGCAAATAACGGCCAGTGAACCGGCCGTTATTTGCTATTTTTTTAAACCCCCCCACCC